TATTTTGTGGTGCTATTTGGCAGCAAAACCACTAGGTTCAGAGGGCCTTGGGTCATAACCATTTATACTGTAGTGTCATTTGGCAGCAAAACCGCCAGTTAGAGGACACGTACCACGTCCTTAATGACAGGAGATTGTTTGAGAATGAATCCTAGTTATATTTTCGACTAAGCATTAGCTCTGTATGAGCTGAAGTAAATTTCAATTTGTCCATCTCGGCAAATTGTTATGGAGGGTGAATGGATTTTGTTTTAAGCATTAATGGATATGTTTAAATTTTAAATATTTAAATTTTGAGATTTTAAAATTTTTCTGGATTTTTGTGCATTTGGGATGACATTTTGAAGATGATTTTGAACCCCTTCGGTTGAGATATGCATTCAACACGACCATCATCGAGGTGTTTGGGGTCATTTCCATTTGATTAAATCGTGTCGACCCAATCAACTTGCAGATAAGGAATCGGATTTCGTATTTTTTTTTTATAGTGAATTCTCTTAATTATATGCCTTAAAGGTCTAATATGAATATATTAAAACAAATAAATTAGTTGCTGCAACCGTATATTTGTTTGATGGTTCGAGCTCATTGATCCATATAAGAGGATTAGGTTTGAATCTGAATTCACATATCGACCCGCGCAGCATCCCTAGACATCACATGTATACCAATAAAATGCTCGTCAGGGACCGTGCAGGTGTTTGGGGGCATTTTGTAATTATTTGTTGAATCTTGTCGACTCCTACTTGCTTAGGATGATCGGTTTCAAATTTATTGACCCGCGCAGCATCTCTAGGCTCCACGTGTGTTCCCACAACACGCTCGCCGGGGGCCATGCAGGTAAATGATTGTATACCCCTTGTGTACCTATATGCATACAAACCATGATTTAAAATTGCGCAATATGAGGCTCGCCTTGAGGCCTGCCTTTGCGCAATTCCAGTAAAAAACGCCTCGAGTTTTTGTAATGAGGCTTACGCCTCAACTTCGTTGAGGCCCGCCTTAAGGCCCGCCTCGCCTCACTGGCATGAGGCTTACGCCTCACGCTATATATATTAAAACTTATATAAATCTTGAAGTAAATGTCCGACATTGGACTCTATAGGAGAGGAGGAAGGGGAGAGAGCAGTTCATCATAATGATGATTCAAACGAAGAACCCCTTAGTGATGACAATGCTGATGATTTATGAGTTCTTATGTGATATGTCACTGCTATTTATTTTTAGAAATTGGAATTATATGTTAATGAAAAGAATACTGGGATTTGGGAAAGATAGAATTTTGAGTTGAACTATATTTCATGTTGTCTTATTATTGAGATATTTTGATTTCACTTCATATCTTATGATTTTTTATGTTTTATATTTTCACTCATTAGTATTTAAAAAATTTATGTTATGTTTACGCAATCTTTGGATTTTGAGGCTTACGCCTCAAAACGCCTTGAGGCTTACGCATCGCCTCACGAATAAAAAACGCCTCAATACCCGAATACGCAATTTTAGACATTGATACAAACTACGGTGCATGTGCAGGGGCACTCTTGGAATATTAGTAAATGCATTCTGTCCGCTTGCATGAGTGTTGCAGATTCGGTGGCATGGCGTAGCAGCTTATAGATTGAGTTGTTCGCTGCATATACAGGCAGACTGTCATGCACTACTTGCATGATTTATGCAGGTATATTGTAGTGCACTAACTAATCTCCTGCTTTATTTGTTGATGATTGCATTTGTATGATACATTTGTTAGTGGTCATTGCTTTGCATAAGAGTCTTCTAGAACTAACTACAAATATTTGCATTTGTTATAGTTATTTTGCATTTTGCCTATAGTTGACACAGTGGACATACAATAAACCTTTTATAAAGGCCCATGGGAATTTGCATTTGTTATATATTATCTACTTCTGCCTGCAAACGAGATGTTATATATGATGGATTCTGTATGTCATGAGGCATTTCATCATTTTTATGTTGACTCCCCTTTTCTCATTCACAGGAGAGGTTCTTCTGGACTTTAATATCAATAACTGTCATCTTGAAAAGAGCTCCTTTCAAGATCACCAGTGTAGTAGACTCATTATTTTCAGTGTTTATGGATACCAAAACTGTTTTCTTCTTAAGTATATGACTAAAAAGAAACTTTGGAATACCATGAAAATTAGTTCTAATTTATTCAAACATCCCTTTCTTTCTATCATGGGGTGTCCTGCGTACATCGAATTGTCTTCGTACTTGACATACTTGTAGGTCTCAATCACCGCAGTCATAGGTGATATTTATACTTGTGTCCACAAGGGTTCGTTGTATTTATGATACACCCATTATTGTTATCCACAAGTATTCATTTGCAGGGAGCCGTTCTATCCACTATGACCTCTTGAAAATGTTTGTAGAAGACTCATTGTTCCTACATCAAATTTACCTTTCACCAATCTCAGGTAGTAGGTGATGTTCATGTGTAAGGACTGATCTTCTACCATCAATTGATAGTGTTGTCTTCTTCGATCAACAGGGATTGTCATAGGAGTTCATTATTTCATGTATATATATGTTTGTGATGTATTGCAGAATCCCTCACATTTGCTCACAAACATGTATCGAATGTACAACAGACCTACAAAAGATCGTAGGCATTTGCATTTGGCATAGTCACTTTGTATCTTGTTTATGGACAACAAACTGAGTGTACCACGAGTTCTCTACAGTGGCCCGTGGATACTTACATTTGTTATAATCATTTGGTACTTTATTTGTAAATGACACTTCGTAGCCTTATATCTTTGCTTATAGAGAATAAATGTACTTGTGTCCATAGAAGATTTATTACGCTTACTACGTACCCACTATTGTTATCCACAAGTAATTTCAGTGGTCATCGTAAAGGACAGATGACTCCATATGTTTATTGACCTTCATTGCTTACAAGATCACTACTTTGATCTATAAGCAAGTGGTTGTATGCATGAAGAGCCGTATATCATTGCCTGTAGACACATCATCACATTTCTCATTCAATCATTGCATATATGTCAACTTAATTGGAGAGCTTGGGTCACTTTAATTTCATCACTTCTTTCCCCAATGATGATTCTTATCAAACATGCATTCTCTATTTGATCTCGATTGAGTAATCATGAATGTCGATCAATACTTGGAAGACGATCGTTTGCAATTTGACTGCGCTTTCATTTAATTTTTGTTTGCATGACAAACCACTCCACTTGCACATGGAGTGGAGGAAGAAACGAAGACCTCATTCTCTCGGGTATTTAACAACACATGTGGACATTCAACCGAGGCGAGATCATATTATTCTCAAGGAAGTGACGACAGCGCCGACCTGTACGAGGTAAGCAGGATTTTAGCAAAAAATTTGGGATTCTTCTGTTCCTTTTGTTTTTTTTATCTATTAAAGTCAACAAATGCCCCCCAATAAATGTTGTTCGCATATAGAGCAAATCATGTTTGTTGTATGTTGATTGACCCTGAAGATCTCTATATATTTGTTCTATAATTCATACTAGGGATTCCATTTAGTAGATCTCCAAGAATTTTCTTAGATGTCACACTAAGATTTTCATTTAGTGGATCTTCAAAAATTTGCTTAAATGTTGCACTAAGATTTTCATTTTATAGATCTCCAAAAGTCTATCTCTATATCTTCTTAGGTTTTAGATATACTTGTAATCTTCAGTGTAGTTGATATATTTACTCTTGGTCAAGTAGAGATCTCAGGGTACTGGGGTAGTGATAGAGTATTTTGTACTTCAAGTCTCTAGAGCATCACTCTGCAGATTGATGCTAGCATATGACATTGCGACATTTTGCACTTCTTTTGTCACCACTATTATCTTAGTTTCTTACATATTCATGAATGCTCGCATCTTTCTCTACAGTTTACAGGACTCTTGTTGTTTCAAGCTTTCTACAGTGACTTCTTGAGCTCAGGTACACTTTCTTCCCTTCTTCTTAGTTTTGATTTTACACTCATACTGATAATGTTTTGTATTTTATGCAAGTTACTACGGGAAGAGGATACAAGCTTCAGCCAATTTACTGCCTCAACAGACTTCAGTTTTGGTACGTTTTTACTTTATTTGTATAATTCTTTTTCTTTTTTAACTGCTTACTGACATTTTTGTTGTTATATGCAGGCTTCAAGAGGAGCGGGTTACTTTTTTGTGAGCCATCTCAGGAGACCTCTGCTTTAGGTACAATTTTCTTTTTTATAGTTTTACAAATATCTGCATGATACTTCTTTCTTATTGACACTTCTAATGCTTTATGCAAGTTCTAGAAGTGCAGAACACTTGATCTTTAGAAGGAGCGAAATAAAGCTGTCGGCTTCCTCTTCAGGCATAGTTTAGGGAACAGATTGTAGTCCTCTGTGAATGACATTGTACTTTTCTTTTTATTTCAGTTGATGTAACCTTGTAAAAAGATGTAGTCCATAAATCCGTATATGAATTCTGAACTTAATAAAATAAAGTGACTTTATAAATTCAGTTATTGATGAGCTCTCTTTTTACTGTTCTTGAGATTTCTATAGTTGTACTCTAACTTGTGTTCAAGTTATTGTAAATAATTTTAAATATTTATTTGGGGATCTCGACATACAGCGCGATGTCGACCCAAATAAATATTTAGAATGCTCCCAGTCTTTAATGACACTTGTAGATATCATTCGGGCTGCTTCTTTTCATAGCTTTAGACTGAGTCATGAGATTCTAGTTCTCCGCAGCACAAAGCACGGGACAGAAAGAACTAGAATCTCATGACTCAGTCTAAAGCTACGAAAAGAAGCAGCCCGAATGATATCTACAAGTGTCATTAAAGACTAGGGGCATTTTAAATATTTATTTAGGTTGATATTGCACTATATGCCGAGATCCCCAAATAAATATTTAAAATTATTCACAATATCATAAGCGTAAGTTAGAGTACAACTACAGAAATCTCAAGATCAATAAAAAGAGAACTCATCAACAACTGAATTTATAAAATCACTTTATTTTATTAAATTCAGAATTCATATACAAATTTATGGACTACATCTTTTTACAAGGTTACATCAGCTGAAAGAAAAGGAAAAGTACAATATCCTTCATAGAGGACTACAATCTGTTCCCTAAACTACGCCCAAATAGGAAGCCGATAGCTTTATTCCACTCCTTCTAAAGACCATGTGTTCTGTACTTCTAGGACCTGCACAAAATATTAGAAGTGTCAATAAGAAAGAAGAAGAATCATGCAGATATTTGTAAAACTACAAAAAAGAAATTTGTACCTGAAACAGAGGTCTCCTGAGATGACTCACGAAAAAGTATCCCGCTTATCTTGAAGCCTGCATAGAGCAACAAAAATGTCAGTAAGCAGCTAAAGAAAGAAAAAGAACTACACAAATAAAGTAAAAACGTACTAAAACTGAAGTCTCCTGAGGCAGTAAACTGGTTGAAGCTTGAATTCTCTTCCCGTAATAACTTGCACAAAATACAAAGCATTTTCAGTATGAGCGTAAAATCAAAACTAAGAAGAATGGAAGAAAATGTACCTGAGCCCAAGAAGTAACTATAGAAAACCTGAAACAACAAGAGTCTTGCAAACTGTAGAGAAAGATGCAAGCATTCATGAATATGCAAGAAACTAATATGACAGTGGTGGAAAAAGAAGAGCAAAAGATCGCAATGCCATATGCTAGCATCAATCTACAGAGTGATGCTCTAGAGACCTAAAGTACAAAGTACTCTATCACTACCCCGAGATCTCTACTTGACCAAGAGTAAATATATCAACTACATTGAATATTGCAAGTATATCTAAAACGAAGAAGATACAGAGATAGACTTTTGGAGATCTATAAAATGAAAATCTTAGTGCGACATCCAAATAAATTTTTGGAGATCCACTAAATGAAAATCTTAGTGTGAAATCCAAGCAAACTCTTGGATATTCGCTAAATGGAATCCCTAGTGTGACATCTAGAATGAATATCTAGAGATCTTCAGGGTCAATCAACATACAACAAATATGATTCGCTCTATACGCGAACCACATTTTTGTTGGGGGCATTTGTTGACCTTAACAGATTAAAAAAAAAGCAAAAGGATAGAAGAATCCCAGATTTTTCGTTAAAATCCCGCTTACCTCCTACAGGTTGGCGCCGTTCGCGTCACTTCCTCGTGAATTATACGAACTCGCCTCGGTTGAATGTACACATGTGTCGTCAAATACCCGAGAGAATAGGGTCTTCGTTTCTTCCTCCACTCCATGTACAAGTGAAGGGGTTTGGTATGCAAACAAAAATTAAATGAAAGCGCAATCAAATAGCAAACAATCGTCATCCAAGTATTGATCGACATTCATGATTACTCAATCGAGATCAAATAGAGGATGTATGTTCGATAAGAATCATCGGGGCAAGAAGTGATGAAATTAAAGTGACTCAAGCTCTCCAATTAAGTTGACATCCATGCGATGATTGAATGAGAAATATGATGAAGTGTCTACATGCAATGATATAAGGCTCTTCATGCATACAACCACTTACTTATAGATCAAAGTAGTGATACTTGTAAGTAATGAAGGTCAATAAACATATGGATTCATTTATCCTCTACGACGACCACTGAAATTACTTATGGATAACAATAGTGGATACATAATAAGCGTAGTAAATCCTCTATAGACACAAGTACATCTATTCTCCATAAGCAAAGATATAAGGCTACGATGAATCCAAATTCCTACGAGTCGTCGTAAAAAAGTATTTCATGTATGTGAAGTATCATCTACAAACAAAGTACCAAATGATTATAACAAATGTAAGTATCCACGAGCCACTGTAGAGAACTCGTGGTACACTCAATTCATTGTTCATAAGCAAGATACAAAGTTATTATGCCAAATGCAAATGCTTACGATCCTTTTTTGGAGGTCTGTTGTACATTCGATACATGTTTGTGAGCAAATGTGAGGAATTCTGCAATACATCACAAATATATATAAGCATGATGTAATGAACTCCTATGACAATCCCTGTTGATTGAAGAAGGTAGCACTGTCAATTGATGGTAGAAGATCAATCCCTACACACGAACATCACCTGCCACCTGAGATTGGTGAAAGGTGGATATGATGTAGGAATAATGGGTCTTCTACAAATATTTCCAAGAGGTCGTAGTTGATACAACGATTCTCTGCAAATGAATACTTGTGGATAACAACAATGGGTGTATCATAAATACAACGAACCCTTGTGGACACAAGTACAAATATCACCTATGACAGCGGTGATTGAGATCTACAAGTACGTCAAGTACGAAGACAACTCGATGTACGGAGTACACCTCCTGATAGAAAGAAATGGATGTTTGAATAAATTAGAACTAAACTTCCTGGTGTTCCAAAATTTCTTTTTAGCCATATACTTAAGAAGAAAACAGTTCTGATATCTACAAACACCGGAAATAACAAGTCTAATACATTGGTGATCTTGAAAGTAGCTCTTGAAAGGAGCTCTTTTCAAGACGGCGATCATTGATATCAAAGTCCAGAAGAACCTCCCGGTAAATGAGAAAAGGGGAGTTAACATCAAAATGATGAAATGCCTCATGACATCCAGAATCCATCATATATACAACATCTCGTTTGCAAGCAGAAGTAGATAATGTATAACAAATGCAATTTCTCATGAGCCTTCATAAAAGGTTTATTGTATGTCCAGTGTGTCAACCATAGGCAAAATGCATAATAACTATAACAAATGCAAATACTTGTAGTTAGTTCTAGAAGACTCTTATACAAAACAATGACCACTGACAAATGTATCATGCGAATGCAATCATCAATAAATAAAGCAGGAGATTAGTTAGTGCACTACAATCTACCTGTATAAATCATGCAATTAGTGCACGACAGTCTATCTGTATAAAGTAGCAAACAACTTAACCTATAAGCTGTTATGCCATGCCACCGAATCCGCAAAACTCATACAAGAGAACAAAATGCGTTTACAAATATTCCAAGAGTACCCCTGCACATACTTCGTAGTTTGTATGTACATAGGTACACAAGGGATATACAATCATTTACCTGCATAGGCCCCAGCGAGCCTGTTGTGGGAACACACTTGGCGCCTAGGCATGTTACGCAGGTCAATATATTTGAACCCGATCCTCCAAAGCAAGTAGGAGTCGACAAGGTTCAACAAATGATTACAAAATGCCCCAAACACCCGCATGGGCCCCGACAAACGTGTTATTGGTACACACGTGACGTCTAGGGATGCTGCGCGGGTCGATAAGTAAATTCAGATTAGAATCCGATCCTCCTATGCGGATCAATGGGAGAGGACAGGGTTCGGACCATCAAACAAATACATCGGTTGCTGCAACCTCCGATGTATATTTTTAATACATCATATTAGGGCTTCAAGGCATATAATCAAGAGAATTCACTAGCAAAGACATAAAACTTACGAAACCCGGTCCCCTATCGGCAAGTTGATAGGGTCGACACGATTTAATAAAATGAAAATGACCCCAAACACCCCGATGATGGCCGTGTTGAATGCATATCTAACCGGAGGGGTTCATAAACATCTTCAAAATGTCATCCCAAATGCCCAAAAATCCATAAAAATTCCAAAATCTCAAAATTCAAATATTTAAAATTGAAACAAATCCATTAATGCTTAAAGCAAAATCCATCCACCCAATTTGTCAAGGTGGACAAATTGAAATTTACTTCAACTCACATAGAGCTAATGCCTAATCGAAAATATCACTAGGATCCATTCTCAAACAATCTCTTACCATTAAGGACGTGGTACGTGTCCTCTAACCGGGGATTTTGCCGCCAAATGGCACTGCAGGATAAACGGTTATGACCCGGGGCCCTCTGAACCGAGCGGTTTTGCCGCCAAATGACACTACGAAATACCGGTTATGGCCAGAGCTAATACGTTCCTTAATGACATCAAATCCTTAAAATATAAATCAATAAGATATGATCAATAGGGCACAAAGCCCTCTGTAGCAAAGATTCAAATTTGTCCCCTTAGTCAAATATTCACCCCAGGTCTACAAGATCCCCTTGGGCGAAACAACACATGGCTGCCGACAAGGATTCTTCTGTCAAGTTGGGTCGACTACCTTCTCTGACTAAGTAAACTAGGGACCACGATGGTCCGAGATGACGGAACCATGGGATCTTGATCGAGTCCATCATCCATTCCCCCACCATCCGCTTTAAGTGAAAGATGGTGGAATTTCAAATGTTTAAATATCGAACCTTCAAATTTCCAAATATTTCTAATCCCAAACTCATGCTGCTACTATATGTCAGATAACACGTATCTTCTACGTATCTTATTGATGAGTAGCCTTAATCGAATGTTCTCTCTCGTTATCGGGAGGGGTAATTAACTATAGAGGCTTGCACCTATAAGAAATCAGAACTCAGATCATAAAGTCCTCGCAAAAATGAGGGCGAAATCTCTGTGTAGTGTCTTATCTACAAACCCATCTGCCTTCCAAAATTTACCTCAGAACTTATCCGTTAAAACTCCCTCGCTAAAGAATGCAAAAGTGGTGCGGAGGCCGGGGCTGAATTTTCGGAGCCCACAATGAACTAGAGTATTAAAATTTTTATGTCAATAAAGCTCATGCATCGAGTTGAATCCGACCTATCAAAACCTAAATGCTATAATGGCATATTTTTTTTCAAAAAAAAAAAGCTAAATCTTAATCAATGATCAATGCCCTGAGTGTAACGTATTTTCGTTGAGCCTACCCATTTTGGATTCCTTTGTTGATTGCTAAATCAAATTAAGTCAGGAAGGCATCAATCTTCCATCATGATCAACGTGCCAGGATCAAATCCAATGACAAAAAGCATGTATATGCTTTCCTGAGAGGTCGAATGTAACAAACTAATTTTTACATAGAATGGGGCACAATAAAATTCTCATGCACAAAAATCTCATAATAAATGCCAGCATACGATTGTCAAATTCCACATTCATATTATCAATCGTACAATGATGATGTGCTGAAATGCTGAAATTATTCTTTTAAAACTTGATCGCTTCAAAATTAAACTTTGGTTGGATAAGCCGAACAATTAGATCCAAACCCAATTTTAAGAAAGGCTCGATCTTCATGCAAATCAATATTCAATTCTAAATAAAAAATCGACTTTTTGGCATTACTGGAGACACCTAATGCCAAACCCCCATTAAGTCCTGCCCCATTGGGGCTATGTGGCAAGGAAGTGTCCCCACCTAATTATTTTCTTTATGGTAGTGCAAGAGTCTTTGTTTTCACTTTAGTCCCATGTTGTCACTGGGAAAGAAGGGGTCCTCATTATGTTCTATACATAACTAGTTTAATTATCCGTGCATGTTGTTAGGTCTTAAGTAATACATAAGAATATCTTTAAATATAAAAATAATTTATTTATTTGTTTTTTAAATTAAATTTAATAACGACGATGATTTATTCTTGATGAGATGGACTACTCAACATTAAAATCATCTAAAGCACCTCCATCATATGCCTTTAAGAAAATGTGGTATAAATACAAAATTGATAATATGGTGAAAAAAATTGTATTAGAATATTTTAATACAAAAATGATAATAATGCAATTTAATGCTTTTGGATTTGCTTTGAGGTGATTGTAATATATAAATAATTTATGAGAAAAGAATCAAAATGATCTCTTGGCTCTTTATGAAGGACCAAAATGATTCCCAACTATATTACATGATCATTCCAGTCCCTCAAATATTCAAAAAGGAATCAAAATAGTCCCTTGGTTTGATTATTTTGATTCATATTTAAGGAGTTGAGGATCCAAAATAATCATTTAATAAAGTTGGGGACCATTTTCTCAATAATTTATATTGCATCCATCTCAAATAAAATTCAATGACTTCAATGTTAATCATAATAAAAAAATTTAATCGAATTATCATGACAAATTTTTTTTAATATGTTTAAAAGATATGTAATTCAATGTCCTTAATCATAAAACAAATATAAAAATAATAATTTTATTTTAATAAAATATAATAAACACATTAATATAAATAAAAAGTTGATATAATAGTTATTAGAATAGCAAGTTTAAATTTAATGGCCCTAGTTAAGCACCAATTGTAGCGATTCCCCCTAGAGCAAAAATAACATTGATTATTTCTTCAACAAAGAATCTGTTCGTCACTGACCTACTGAAGGACAATGGAAAGAAACAAAAACCTCACCAACCGTAATTTCTTCATCAAGACGTACATAACAATGATTGTAGTTTAACTAATCTTGAATCACTTGACCCTCTTTCCAACATGCAACAAAAAGCAAAGCAGAGACTTTTAATTCATTAATCCATAACAACAAAAGAACATGATTATGATCTTCAAAGTACAAAACATAATGATACAATGATAAATGCCGTATATCAAAAATGATCTAGAATGTCGATCATGTTTCCCAAAATATATCATCTCTATTATTGAATTGCTTTTAGCAAACACCACCAAAAAACAATAAGCCTACCCCTAAGGAAAGATTCCTTAGGTATGATATCCCAATGCCTAAGTCTGTAAATGAGCTTGGAATCATCAGAAAGGATTGAGAGCAAGAGAAAGGACTGAAAGCTAGTCTCCTTCAAAGTGTAAGATGGTATCAAGGTGATCCTTACATCCCCCACTTAACACCCTGCCCCCTCTCTTTCGAGGCCTTTATAAATGCATGAATGAAGGATGTTTAAGTGGCTTGGCGAAGAGTATAGTGGATAGATAAGCCACCTCATCTTAGAGATTTGTGACAAACAAAAAATGCCCCTTCATTGAGGGCTTTAGTCCTTTAGCCAATCATAAGTGAAATAATCAAGGCACATCGACTTTGGGATCTACAATGGACCGTCATCCCCTTGGTTATGATGGATAAATTGATAGAGGCCCCAAGCCTCAAAATTAGTGATGTGAGAATGTTATGAATAACTAAGTCTAAAATAGAAGGTGAACTGCATTTTAAAGGTTATTTATGTGATAGAAAGCTCTATATATAAATTTTATTTTCTATGCATACCAGGTTTGAGAACTAAGCATTTATTTTCTTTAAACAAAATAATTACATCCACTAAATAAATTAAATATTTAATGTTCTTCTTATCATGATTTCACAAAATAATAATAATATAAGATTAGAAAAAAAAAACTATAATGTGAGATCTAGATATACGCTTTAGATGAAGATTGTGAGAATAAGATTGACCTTAGTGACCTTAGCACTCTAAATAAAAATAAAGATTTTTATTTTTATCATCACATTAGTAAAACCAAAGTTAGAGGGCCTTTAAAGAAAATGAAGTATGGAAAAACTATTGAACCTGATGATATCCAATAGAGGTGTGAAAATG